TGTGAGAGAAGGGAGGAGGTGTTGGGTATATGGAGGAAGGAGGAAGGAGGAGTGGAAGGTGGAATTTTTTAATTGTTGGATGAGAGTGAATGTCGTCACCTTGGTTGGCGACCATCCTTTTGATTGGTCGAGGGAGTTAGACACATATCGCTCGCTTAGGCGGTGATGTAACATAGATAATTTTCCAGCCACACGATCTGCAAGGTAGTAAACTCTATATGCTTCCCTCTCCATCGTCCCAATAAGAGAGAAAGTTGCCAAAGCCCCAAGCGACATTCATTTTATCGCCTTTCAAGATGGCGATCCATGTATCTCCCCCTTATCCAACCACAAGCTGCTCTGCGTCTGCATTTGATAGCTATTTTGCTTGTTTGAGTAACGATATAGCTTTTATCGCCTTGTGGACTGCCTACATATAGTTAGGTCGCTAACTCTTGTAGCAATATTTGTCTGCACCCATTGTAAAAGGACCCCTTGGATCGTTTGGTTCTTTCCAATATCTCAATATATTATCTCAATCTTATTTTAATATTTGACTGAGTATACATTTGAACTGAAATACAAACAAGGAAGCTAGATGATTTCAAATATAAATACCAGAAATCCATTCTCTAAGAATTGTTTTTGTTAATAACTACCCAACTTAAAAAAAGACAATGCAAACTGAATGTCTCTAATCATGTGCTTCGTAGGTCTTATGCAAGTGTATTATGTGTGTGACTTATATCAACCAATTTTCAAAGAATTGGGATGTGACACTATGCATGCCATTCGTACTTGCTTTGTAAGATGATATGATTCTCAAATTACTAATACATTGTGAAACTGTCTACTCGGGTAAAACTATGAGGCGTAGCAATTATGTATGAGTTTAGAAATTAAAAGGATTTGTTTGTTGGTGTATTTCTGAATGTAGATATTTGAAAAATGTAGATATTTGGTAATGCAGGGGTCGTTTGGAAGTTGCGATTGTTTTGTTGAGATTGTCATTATGCATGTATTGTTTACAATGCATCGTTTTTTTTAGCAGAAACAATACATGGATTGTTTCTATGATGTGACAGAAACTATCACTCATTTTGAGTGATTGTTATATCTCAACTTTTAGTTGTGATTGTTGAGATAGTTGAGTTGAGATTGTTTTGTCTCAGCTTTTAGCTGATGCGACATACATAGTCACACATACCAAACGTTGTATTCTACAATGCATCAAATTCGACAATACATGTATAATATTATACATGCATTCTCAACAATACATCTCTTTAACAATCGCAACTTCCAAACGAGCCCGCAGACATTTCAAATGTGTTATTTTTACAAGAGTCATATTTCAGTGACTCATTTATATAATTTTACCATTTTGTCCCCACATGTAATATGTTCCATTTTCTTGTTCGCTATCCTAATAAAGCCAATCACAAAAATAAAATTCATTTTTCAACCAACATGTCACATATTATTTGGATTTTAGCCTTATATAATAATACTAGTTTTTATTTCCGAACGATAATTTTATGTTAACTTTCTTACAAATTATAATGGTTAGAAAGTATACCATTTTACAACCAAATATAACCTATATTTGAAATTGGTATTCAGAATACTAATGATTATTTTATTAGAAATAATTGAAAAATGTTCATGGAAAATAATTGGAAAGTGTTGTTTGAAATAATTGGAAAATACTGGATTTATGAAGAAAAAATAGAAAAGAATTAGTATTGGATATATGAAAAAGGGGAGGGCTAAGATTGAAAACTAATGACGAAAAAAATTGAGTAATTTGAGCGATAAGTTATTTACAAATGACTCGCTTTACTTTTTGTTGACAAACGAGCATTGCAACACCAAATGACTCGTTCAAATAACTCAGTTTTCTACTTGCGACGAAGGATTTAGCCATTACGGTTTCTTTTGGATTTACTTTTAAAATTTAATAATGATGTTGAAATGAATGACAAACTACAACCAGATAGGCTAACGACTCTAACCCCTAATCGTATTTAGCCTATCACTTCCTTCCTGCGCCTATCCCTAAGCCGTCCAGAATCAAGTATTTTCAGCTTTTAATTTTAATGTTTAAAACAACTTAATTATATCAAGGGCAGGATTGTAATTCAGATTTTTTCTTCTCATTTGCTCATTAAATGCATTAAATTTAAATGAATCTTTTCTTCCCAAAGGAGATCTGGTGCGAAAAGATAATGTCCGACGTCGACAACTAGTCCATTTATACCGACAATGGATGCATCTCTGGGGACGACCACACTAATAGTAGAAAGAAGAGACAATGGTGATTAGGGATCATAAGGGGTCAGGTTAGTCAGATTTTTCTAGGTCCAAACCCAATTCAGCAGTACATCACACACACAAAAAAAAAAAATCGGATATCATATTCATTCGATTTTAAAAGAGAAAACTTAAACCACCAGATACCTACGGATGTATGGGTATACATGTATTCACGAGCATAATTTGCAAATTATTTCTCCGAACAAATAGATTGTAATATTTATCCAAATTTTCTATAAATATATTATTGTCATAAAAACTAATAACATCCATAAATTATTCATATTATTATCACTATATTAGTATACTAGCTTATTACCTGGTTCGTTGGCTAGAATATTCATATTTTTATGTTACATTTAAGTCTATCCATATGTTTACTTTTATTGATAATCCTTCGACCGAAATTATACATAAAGAAAGAATATATAGGTCGAATATTCAGAGAAATACCATCATCATTTAAGAATATAAAATATAAAAATGTATCATTGATTCCATTTTGATAATGATAATTAAACCCTCGTTAAAATACTATTAGTTAGTTGATTGTCAAGAAATATAGACTATAAAAGCTTAGTGAAATTCCCACAACACCCATAAATAGTTTGAAACCGAATCTCGAACCCCACAATCCTACATAAAGGGTTCAACACTTTCCTTTTAGGAACAATATGCCACTAATCAAAAAGAAACGGAGAGTTGTGATTCAAGTCAACTATATACTAACAACTCAACTAAGAGGAAACCATCAAAACTTGAGAGCAATTTACAAAATTAGGGTTACCTCTAACATACTAATAGACTCGATCAAAGTAATAAGGCACAAAATTAGATACTCATTATCTATAAGTTCCAATAGGTTGAATAAAGAATTGACCTACCAGTTCAATTCGATGAATTTTCTATGAAGATAGAAAATTCATTGAAGTTGAAACCTAATAACAGAAAGAGGAGCAATGGCTCAAGAGATCCACCGAGCTTCAAACATCATACCAGGCAATAGGATAAAAAAATAGATCTTCTTCATGTTCTGCTCATGAGACAGCGTGAAGACAAAAGTCATTTTTTTATTAATCAGAAAGATAAAACTATGAGACATAGAGAAGAAAAGAATGACTTACATATACAAAGCGATTAACCTTGGACAAAGATCGAAAACCCATTCAAGGTTAATGCCTGGTATAGGAAGAGGAGTAAAGGCGGAAGATATAACTGATCAAACACTGTATTCAACAATAGAAGCAGCAAAATAGTTCTTCTGTTAGTTCATCGAGGAGAGACAGAACCATTGGGTGATGCCAGTGTAGAGGAATCGAGCGAGATAATTAACACAGGACCATAACTACTTGATTGAACTCCATTCTATTCGCCATGGATTGATATTAGAGTTGAAATCTTCTATTTTCCCAAATTAAATCACCAACAATAAAATCGTACGCAGTGCCAATAGATACCGGAAGATTAATTTTCAAAGGCTGTCTTGTACTGGGAAGTGAAAGGGGCGCAAACTATTGCAAGATGGATGGAATTTCGGAGGGAGTTAGAAAGAGATAAAAAAGGATAAAGAAGCACAAAAATTTAAATTTAAATTGAAAAATGGAAGGACATAACACGTAGTAAAAGAAATAATTTTTTCGTGTTAGCCAATTACCAATTTACCTTTAGAGAAACTTAAGGAGAGAGCAAGAATTTTAAAATAGAGAAAATTACCTGAAACTCTACTATGAAAATCGAAGTATAAAGTACCATAAAATTACGTACGGTAGACTTAGTGGGCTTGCTAATCATGATATAAAAGTCCTCCAGTTTTAAGAGTTTAACTTTGTATATGTTTTGTTTAAAAAAAGGTTCAACAAATTCGTTTAATGCAATTGGTTATAATTGTTGTCTTTGTTTAAAGAGACTTGGGTTCAAATCCTAATAATGATATTTTTATATGAAATACATAATTAAGTGTAAAGACAAAAATGTCCTTCCTACTTTTACTCTCATTGCAGGAAATTTGAAATATAGAAAAGTACACAAAACTCTACCATATATTATTGGAGGATGATATATTGTAATAAAGACGGATACCATATATTACGAAAACTCATATTTTAATACAAAAATTAACGTGAGACACCCAAATTTTTATATTTGAATCAAACAAATTACATTGACGTCATTTAACTTTTAAATTCATGAAATAGTTCAAAAATTATTTTTTATGAATTAAATTAGCTAAAACGATGTTATTTTGTTTATAGGCCGAAAATCGACCGTCTCAGTCATACTAGTGGTATTTAAGTTTGTTAATTTGTTTCATGGCCGATTGGCCGGTATCAGTTGAACCTAGTTCGTTCAACCTGTCGACATTCCATTAGAGTGTAGAGTGACAACCATATTTTTGTCTCAAACGACAGGTAAAATACGCACAATACCAAACTAGCACTAAAATTCTCTAAAATACTAGAGTTTGACGTGGTTCACTGCATTGTACCCAACGATCTAGGTACTGGTTTGTTGAGACGAGAGAGAACCATTTTCGATTGTGCCCAACAAAATCAAATCATTCTCGAACCAGACTAGACCGAGGCAAATGAAAGCGATCCATCCAGATCGTTGTTGACTCCACTGATCATGTCCAAAAAAAACGCTGGACACTGCAACTACATATATGGTAACTTCAAATGACGTTAAGTTTGCACTCAATTAGCCGATCTAACAAAAAAAAAATATTATTTTGCATAAATTTTCAAGATCTTCGAAATTGCATCCGTCTTCATCATTAAAGAACATCATTTGTTGTTCCAAACAAGCCATTCTACGATTTCGACAAATTTCGAACGATTGCAAATTTGTGCTCCGCGATCCGACCGTCCGTGCGCATTTCTAAACCACAAGATGAAACTCTTAAGATTCAACGTTGGGAGAAAGAGCATGACATTGCATATGTACAGAGGAATACTTCTCCAATCTTTCTTGTTTAATTTGTTCTCATACCCACCATGGCTTTTCAGTCAAGTCTTTGGAGAACACGTACCGGAATCTAGAACTATAAGGCAACCACTCCACTACTACGACCTTCGACGCCTGCTTCTTCCCCAATTTCCGGTCACCGGCGCACTTCTCAATCGAATCTCCGAGCTTCTTGTCGACATTTTTCACCACCCACTTGATCAGATCGTCGTCGTCGTCGGAGCTCATCGTCATCGAAGCTTCCTTCGCGAACCGCTCGAGCAGTTTCGGGAGGAACACCTTCTTCGACTTCTTCACTACGACGTTCGATTGCAGGAACTCCTTCTTTGCAGCTTCCAGCTCTTCTTTGACGTTGGATGACGTGTACACCTTCAGCTGGAGCATTGATTTTGGAAGATAGCAGCTCATAAGTAACTAATTAGAACTGCAAGCGATTTCTGAATGGTGAGAAAGGAAGACTAGACGGTGCAAGTAATTACCACGGGGTCGGAGAATGTGCCGGTGCAGAGGGCGAAGCAGGCTAGCGGCAGAGGAATTGAGAGGCCGAATTTGGAAGAAAGGAGTTGCCTTTCTTCGCTTGATTTCTTCCGCAGCGCCGTCGAGAGAATGGTCTCAAGCCACTGGATTGTAACGGGTGTTCATCAGAGTAAAGTAGTAAACACATGTAATAACTCATGATCGATTTCCCAATAGTGTGTCAAAACCAGTTCTCTATCGGTTTGCCCTATCCTAACTAGGCTTGTTAGTTTTTGTTTTTTCGGTTTTAATCGAAACCAAATCGATAGGACACATTTAATTATTTTGGTTTTCGGTTTTATAAGTGTTTAGCATCTTAATGGTTTGCCTTATGTTGAAACCGAGAAACCAATAACATTCTAACTAAGTCAATTCCGGTCAACAACACGCATTATCAACAACTTATGTGTAATAGGCTTCTTCCAATCTTCATGCTTCTTGTTGTATTTTCTGACTCCGTTTTTGGACTTTCAAAACTAAGATTTGATTTCTGGTTTATCCAAACCAAAATCATTAAGGGATTTATCGGTTTCCAATTAACCAATAGCCGATAACACCCTTATCAGTTTTCGTTTTCGAGAATTTGACTGATTTGGTTATTGGTTTTCATACTCAAAATGGTTTGGTTAACCAAACCAAACTGACACCCTAATCCTAACTATAACTTGATAACAGAATGAAACCAGTTTTGTTGCCTAACAGGGTATATAAAGCTGCTGGCTTTGTGTAGACAATGCTATTACCTTCCCAACACGAGGTGTCCGGAAGCAGAAGATGGAGTGCTCAATGGAATTTGCGCTTATGATGTGGCCACCTATGTTGTAAGCAGCCTGCACTATACACAAAACACAAGCCCTCTCACTGTAATTTCTTCCCATAATGTCATATATTGCCATGGATCAACAAAATGAGATTCAAGTCAAGACCAATGGCATAAGGCAAAGTAAGTTGAAGTACCTTGTGAAACAGAGCTAACCTCCTCAGGGAGCTGTGGGGGATGCCATAGGCCAAATATGCCTGCACCAAGCCAAAGACAAAAACTTTTTAACTTTCTAAACAAACAAAAAGGACCATATATCTTGTAGGCTTTGAATATTTACATGCATCACAAGGGAATTGTAGACGTTGATCCAGAATGCAACTTGAGCATCGTGTCCCATCTGGGTTACTGTCACTGTTTCCAGCTGTTCCACTAGAACCCTGAGAAAAGGTGGCAAAGAGCTTGAAATTTTTGTACACATGGAAATTAAGTAAGGCAAATAGTAACTTCTCAACACACCTGTAGTGGTCAATGGCATAGGATGCACAAGAGTAGCGGCTTTTATCAGTCGAGATCCAACAAACTTCCACAGTCGATTTGCACGACCAATCTTCTTCCTCTTGGCTGATCTGCTCTCCGTTAACAACGTTGTTTCCTCGCCTTGGAAGCACGACATTGGTGGACGACCTCGACAACAGAGGCGACCTGCCTTTGACAGATGGGTTCGCGCCAGCTGGCGTCGAGCTGCTGCAGAGCCAGCAGTACACTGCAGCCATGCACTTCACCATCTCCTCGGAGAGCTTGCTTGGACATTGGTCGAGATGATCCTTCAGAGTCTTCTGCTGAATTGACACTGATCTTTCCACTAGTGTTGATGCTGCACCCCTTTGATGAACCTGCAAAGAGAGATCGTAAGCATTCAATTGCATAAATGATCAATCAATATGTAGCAATAATGAGAGAAACCACAAATTTACCTTAACTTGGCTGGAGCAGGACTTGTGTAGCCGATTATCTTTCCTACCAAACAACGTGCTAGCACCAACATTTGCCCTACTTGATGGTCTCTTCCCCGATTCACCGCCACCATTGATGGAAACAAGTGACTGCAGAGGTCTCAAAGGGAACAACTTGGAAGAACAGAAAGCACTTGAGATGATCCTTGGATGTTTCTTATTATGATTGGACGATGGAGAGGACAAATGCTTTGCAGGAGCAGGAGGAGGAGGATGGGAAGGAGAAGCCACATTGGAGCTTTGCTGTGAAGTCGCCCTACTAGTACTAGTCACGCACTGATCGAATATGGTTCTGTACAACGTTAGCACGTGCTGCTCGCGGTTTGTTACCTCTTGTTCTAGCAACTCGATCTCCGCAATCAACTCCTTCGTCTGAAAAAATATTGAATTTCTGTGACGATTTATTTAGTAGACGCTAAGTCGAGGTTACCAAAATTCGAACACGAGAAAAAAAAATTGTATGGTACAATACCTGAGAAGCAAAATGCCTGTGGCCAGGAGACAAAGTACTGGAAGCACGGCCCATGGCTCGTTCAAGCATCAAACGCATTGATCTTTCTTCCTGCAGCCTTAACTGGAGAAGCTCAACCTAATGCAAACCAACCAGTTTTACCCAATTACATAACTTCACTACAGCTTTACTCAGTCACAGCAGTAATTTTTCTTAATCAAAGGACTCACATCTTTCTCTAGGGAGGCTCTGTGGTTCGAAGGGTCATTCCTGCTAGAAAATTCACGCAGAGGGCTTTGCACGGCCACATGGCTCCTTCTTGCCCATGCTGGTGATGATGACATCATCTGTTCATACTACTTGTCATTATTCAATACGAACATTAGTTTTTTCTTGCAAGAACTTGGGCATGGAATGAGAGAGAAGTTTCATATATTCTCACTTGCATTTCGGTTTGGTGATCCTTGTTCCTCATCTTGGATTGCAGAATTCTCTGTACTTCCACGTTCTTCTCAGAGGCACTGTCGAAATTTGAAAAGCAAAGGCCAAAGCATATGAAAACAGAGGATTATCTTAACAAAGAAAAAGAAAAGCAGAGAGTTACGTTCAAAATTCTCCCTAGAAAGTAGAAACCCACCTCCTAGAGCGCCTGTGGTGAAGTTGGTTATGACCGCCATCGACTTGCGGCGGCCGGCAAGTGCTTGCAGTCGTGCTGGCGACGGTGGTGTCCATCTTTGCATCAGAGCAAATTACTCCATCCATCATACATTAACAAATAAAATCACCTGAACCCACTACGCAGGACGGCGTGGGGAGGTGGAAATCATGATAAAAGGACAACCTTTGAAACATATGCAATGGTGAGAGAATTGGAACAGGAAAACAGAGCGAAACAGAGGAGAGAGAGAGAGGGAATTTAAGTTTGGGGAATTGTCGAGTTTAAACTTTAAACCATGGAAGTAGAATAATTGAGCTAGCAGTTGCAATGCAACACTTACCAGAAAGGACAATTATGGGTCCATGAAGACAATAACATCGTTCTATCATTTGGTGTGGGGATGGATTCCTTATAGACTCTGCAACTGTTAAGATAGATAGGTAGAGAGAGAGAGAGAGGAGGAGGCGGGTGGAGATGGAGGGAATTGAATGTGGTTGCTTTGAGTTGTTGGGGGTGGAGTCAGGAGAATTTATTTCAGTTTGGTCCTGATTCTTCTTCCTTTCTTCCTCCACTCTCAAGAGTCTGCAGCCTTGGTCTGATCGTCTCTCTGTACACAGGACCAGAGGACCGCTGTGAATAAGGTTGGCCAAGAATGTTAAGCAACATATTACTTTAATCGCAGTAAATCGAGTTGTTGGGAAATAGTTTGTGAAGTTTTTATCTCTTGCACACTTTCTCAAAAGAAACTTTACTTGTGGGTTTTCAGTTTGCAGAGGTTAAACATGTTGTGTTAAGCCGATAGACTTTTAGTTTGTATAGATTGAACATATCATCTCTTGTACTAATACCGTTGTTTAGATTGGGGTCCTCTTAAGAATTCGAAACTATGACCTCTAGATCGAAGGCTCTATTAACATATTAATGAACACACCACTTTGTGCTAGAGGCGTAGCCAAGATTTCGTCTAAGGCGGGTCCACCTCGAGTAAAATCAAAGATATAGTATATCTTGAGTAAAAAATGATATCTAGACCTTGAATTGATCAGAGTTTGGGACATGATATTGTACCCTAATCCTAAAATATTAAAATAGAAGTCTTAAATCTATAAATCTCATACACTAAGATCAATTGGATTGGAAACAACAATCGACGGTCACGATTCCTCAAAATATAGCAACAAATTACACGTACCATTTTGGGGTTTGAGTTCTGTGATTTAGATAACTAAGATCTAGGGTTCACTCATCATATGTTCAATTTTCATTTGTACATATTTCTTTACAAATTTTTTGAATATGTCAATAAACAATTTGTAAATCATTCATAAAATATTTGTAAGGACAAATTTCTCAATTCTGTACACTCTAATTCTAATTATCAATCAACTATTATACCTTTTACTTATTTTTCTACTGAACTAAGTTAGGTCTCGAGACCCATCCTACTATATCTTGCTTCCGGCCTTACTTAGTCCAAATAACTCAAGTTGTTGAGAAATGATTTATTAAGTTCTTATCTCTTGAACGAAAAATAAATTGGAATAAGGGAGGTAATGGTGTAATTTTAGGAAAATTAGGTTTAGCTGCTTAATTATGATTCACTGCAAGATGTGATCCATTTTAACAATTAAGTAAGTAAATTTTATCATGATAATTTGGTTAGAAAAAATGAGAACTTGGGAAACATGAAACTATCATTGTAAAAAAAATTCAAATAGAGACACTAAAATTGAGAAGGGAAAAAATGGACAGTAAAATATACGTTATTCATGAAATTAGACAAATATTTTATCTCGAACAGATAAACTTTATAGATAAGACTCGAAACAAAACATGAACTAGAGATGATTAGCTCGCCAAATCATGCCTACCTAGATATCACCTTTTTTCTTACATTGTACGGAAAAGAGGAAAGTCCATCCTAAAATTAAAATATGTGATCTCTAGATTGAAAACCAACGGTAAAACCACAAGACCAATCCATATTCAGCTGGAAGTCTACTAAATAGCGGGATTAAACTCATTCCATTACAAACATACATACATGCAAGCAAGCCACCTCTTCCAACATTATGTCTAAACCCTATATCTAAACGCTTGTTTGGTTTCAATCTACTTTACTTGTTTCAACGGTAAGCGATCATTCATAGTGCAATGCGAGATTCTCTTTCGTAAAAAAAATAGTTCTCCTCAATGTTTACGATTGTACAGGGACAATAATTAACAGCAACAGCAAATATACAAAAGCCTCGAAGAATGAAGGCGGTGGAGAGCTGGTGAAGCAGCTGCCACCAGAGGCAGCCATCAGTAGCATGAACTATGCATCTATGTATAATAGATAAGCAGTATTGGGCAGAACAAATGAGTATCCAAAGACAGGATAAAGCTGTACTGCCCTTTTACCCTTCGCATTAATGGACACTGCAGACATATTTGGTAGATGTTTTATTACATATGTACTGTAGTTTTTATATAATTTGAATTTTTTTTACTGTTAAGTATTAACTGATGTGTCTGGTCCTTCAAGTTCATGGTGTCTGTTGGAGACTGAGTCGTGGATTGGGTGAATGGCAGGGTCGAGAATGTAAAAGCAGCAGATTATATAACAAGTTAACTAACTAATTCGATCAAACTAGAGTCAAAAGGCTTCACAAGGATGGCAAAACTTCTTATTAAGTGCAACAAGACTCTAATTAGCACAGGATAATCCATAACCCACTCATTCACAGATTGTTTGGACTTTGAGAATGAATATATTTGGGGCTTGGATTAAACCCAAGCCCAAGCCCAAATGACTTCCCGCTGAGATAGCCCAACATAATTAGCCCTCTTCACATTGCTAGCTGCTAGTAGGGGTGGGCATTGGGTGGATCGGGTGGATTTTGACCATAAAATGCATCCACCCGCGCTTAAACGGATTGATAATTTTTAACCCACCACCCACCCACATTTAGTCTCGGGTTGGGTCGGGCGGATGGTGGATGATGCGGGTGGGTTTGTGGGTTCGTGGGTTCACCCACATCACAATGTATATAATATAAAGGAGTCAACTTGACATGATAATAGGTGAAGAGAATCATCGAGGGAAATAAGAAGTTGAAATAGGGCGAAAAATGTCGAATTAGTTCTTAAATTGGATAGAAATTCTATTATGAAAGAGTTTTCTACAGATTGAGACGATTATTAGGTGCAAGGGACTAAGGAAAATAATTCCACAAAGGAAAGAGCGGTGATCTAGGCACAAGAATTAGAGGAAAAAGTAAAGGAAAGAAGAGGGGATCTCTATTTGAAAGGTTGGCTTTGAGGTTCAAACTCCAGGAGCAGTACGAGTTTATATCTAACGTCTCCACTCTCCTCTCTCTCTAGCGGCAACGACTTTAATCTTTTTGCTGTTGGGTTGAGCGGGTCACCCGCACACTCACCCACAACCCACCCACCACCCGGCGGATGGCTCCCAGCGCAACCCGTAACCCACCCACTTAATGAAATTCGGGTCAAATGCGGGTGGGTCGGCCCAAACCCGCGGATGATCCGCCCGCATGCCCAGCCCTAGCTGCTAGTATGAAGTCTGCACTTTGGTAGTAGCCACCTTATCAACATAAAAATTTGTATAAGAATCTTAAATTTATGATTACATTAGATGCAATAGTTGAATTAAGTTTGTTGTAAGATCCATTTTTATCTTTCTTTTTGAAGAATTTAGATTATTGAAATGGATTAGGATTATAAATATAATCAAGATCCCAAATTGACGCATGTATTTCGATTCACTATGACGAATGAAATGTGCAAAAGATTTTCAGGGTTTTAACATTTCCGCTAAAAAATAATTGGCTAACTTTCCAAGGGAGCTTGGGATTGGAATACAGATGTTAGATTGCTGTGGAGGTGGCTGCCATATTAAAAGCCATTGTTGAACTTTATGCAAGAAAAAAGGAAGGCAAAAGGGAAGGACCATTATGGTAAGTCTCTTTCCACCATGAATAAGGTCTCTGTCCGACCATTCATGAAGCCTTAAAATAGATTATCATCCAAAGTTCTGTTATCATTTAGCATTAGGAACTTTAATAATCTCAAGTTTATCACTAATACAAGAGATGTGCGTCGACTACTGAATCCTCCTCTTCTGTTATATATTTGGGGTATATATATATACAAAACTACGGCAATTTTCCTGTTATAGGTATAATATGCCTCATTACTATGACGTTTTATCAAACATGCCCCTCTACTATTTTTTACATCAAGCATGCCCCTGTACTTTGTAAAAATGATCAAACATGTCTTTTGTTAAAATTTTCATCCAAAAATCGTTAACCAATGCCGAATTTTAGTTTGGGCGACACAAATGACTAACATATCCCTAATAAATTCACTTTAGAATTTTTTTGGTTCTTTTGTATAATCAAATCATTCAAATAATTTCACTTTGAAAAGACCCAAAGAAATAAAACAGGGGACAAAAATGACCTCCCATTTGCCGATGTCGGGTCGTCTAAATCTCAATTCAACCATGGTTGACGATTTTTTCAATGGAAATTTTAACAGAAAGGCATGTTTGATAATTTTTTCAAAGTACATGGGCATATTTGATGTAAAAAATAATAAAGGGGCATGTTTGATAAAACGTAATAATAGAGAGACATATTATACCTATAACCCTTTTTTGTTTTGGTAATCATAGCTTATATTATATGGGAAGAAGGTGGGATTGCCACCTCATGCATGCATCAATTCATTGAACAATTAGCAATTAGTGGCGACTTAAGCAGCCGGTGCCTTCTAGCTAAATATATATCAAACACTCTTCAGTTGAACCTAACCCTTTTATACTAATCCTCTAACTTCCTCAACCTAATTAGGATAAGTACTTAATTATCACGACAATTCTTTTTCTTGGTTTCTCATTTTCTTATAATCTACTAGTGTGGGCCCCGGCCAGTTGGCCGGAGGAAGGTGAGGTATGAAATTTGATAATGTAATAAGGTGTATAGCTTATTGTTGTATTGTTTTTTTTTTTGGGAAATTCGTGATAAAAATAGTGAATTTTAGCAGGAAAGAGACATGAATGATGCAAAGAATTAAAAATCGGCCTTATGAACCAAAACCAAGTACATGTTACCTTGTGAAACAATATTGTTTCTGGTAATATGATGAGGTGGAGTAAGTTTTATAGAAACCGAATTCCAGAAAATCAAATAAAAAATCGCCTATCCCGTCGGTTTTCGGGAAATGAGCATCTC